CATCTCTGCCACCACCATCATCATCACCATCTGCTCCAGCAACATCATTGCCATCAGCTTCTCTATCACCAGTCCCACGGGCACCAACAATGTCATCACCATGACATCACCACTCTCACCATCACCATCATGTGGCTGGAAAGTGGCAGGGCTAGATTTAAAGTCATGTCTGGCTGGCTCCACAGTTTGTGCTTGTACAAACTTTGTTTCGTCGTGCAACCAGAGAACATGAAGAGCAAAGTCAAAAACCTGGCCTTCCTTTCAAATATAGTGGAATGGGCATGTCACAGGAATATGTTGCTACCAGCCAGTTTCATGAAAGATGGGCACACTGATTTCTTTAAAAACACAAATGTGGGAGACATGCCCTCCCTTCGACCAGCCCCCATGAGTGTGACCACTGCTGCAAAGGCCCCAGCACCCACTTCTCTATAAAGATACCAACTCCAGCCAGGAAAGGATCACTGGCACAAAAAGAATCTCAGCTTTTCCAGGGAAAAGCCCCTTTATTTTGGTGCCTTTCATTGTTGTTGCTGTTGCTGTTATTAATGCGCAAGAGGATGAAATGCCAACATGGAGTAACTTTAGCCAAAGAGCAGTCATTTTAAGCTTTATCATGCTTCTTTGGCACTTTATTTTAACTTGCTCTCTAATCCTTAACAGGGGACAGAACCAGTCCCCAGAGGCAGTTACTGATAATTGTCTTATAACCCCACAAGCATGCTTTGTGCTAACTAAATACTTTTATCCAAAGTACTTGTCTCTTCCTGCCATAAAGGGCCAAGCTGACCTTATCTACTGTGACTGATGGGACACAGACCACCACCCCATCATCATGGCAACAGCTCCTGTGCTTACCTGTCCTTCTTATCTACATAACTGACTCACTCATCCACCTGCTGTCTATTACCATGACAACAGCTCCAGTGAATGTCAGCCCTGCTCACCCCCAAAAGAAGTTTTAAAAGCATTCAGTCTTAAATACTTGCTGCCACATTTTCTTCAGATGCCTGGCCCCCTTTTCTTCCCTGAGAAGTTGATTCATTCCCCCCCATTTACTTTCTACTAATTTTCCTAATCTAATTTCTGTGCAATTCTTTGCATCTTACCCGTGGCCCTGGCCCACTAACCTAACAATGTCTGTTCTGGATCTGCAGAGAAATGTGCAAGGAACTGACATCCTGGCTGGAGGAATGAAGGGAACCTGATCACAACTGAGGGCTGGCTATTTAAGATGAGGTTCTGTTTTCCGAACTAGACTAAATTTTATTTATTTAGTGTTTTAAAAATTGCTGTAAACTCTTACTCTAAGTTACTTTCTCCAAAAAAGTGACTGTGCCTTCAAAACCTGGCTAGTAACATTCTTCCCTAGCCCTGTGACTTGAGAATTTCTACCATGTGAAAGATGTGCCCAGAGGATTTGGAATCAACATAAAAAGCAACACATTCATGACAACTCACATAAAATACAGATGTCTAGTCAGATTTTAATGAGTCAATAAATGTTGTTTGAAAATTCAAGATCTGGGAATTGCTTCTTTCATTGGAAACCACTTAGAAGACAGTTTCCCCAGTTTAAGATTTGCGCTATTAACAATGATCAGATTAAACATTTTTTGGCAACATTAAATTTTAAGGCTAAATTTTCCATAAAGTTGAAATGCTACAAAAATGTATTTATTATTAAAAAATTGAAATGACGAGGGAATATATCAGTCAAAGTAGAATTACTAGAATCCTATTAGGCCTAGGTAAAAACACCATAGCTGTTGTCACATCAAATATGACCACAAAATATTTACAAAACGTCACAACAGCCACTGGGATGTTTTTCAAGAGGTGGAGACTCAAGCCACATTAATAGCACAATTATTTTGTAGAAGAACTGTGACTTATTTCTTAGCATAAGGTTCATGAGAAGTAGAACCTTGAACTTTTGGGGCACAAGTTGAACCACTGGAGTTCTGGAGAAGACAACCCCCGCCCCAAGCAGGATGCACCAAGTATTCAACACATTCATCATCATCCTTCACCAAGCATAAAACTAACAGTCAGGAAACGCAGCTGCCATGGCACAATTACCAACACACTCAGAACACACCCCGAAGCAAAGAAAACAAATGGCTTGCTTTTCATTAACAGAGCTTGGCAACCCTCTCCAAAGACAATGTTTTCTTTCCAGTCAGCATCCCAAAAGGCATTTAAGGGACTATTTGCTTAGGTAAACCCAGAGAACAAATTAATCGTGAAAATATTTATTTAAATTTCAAAATACCATCACCAATATATAGTGCCATTCAGAAGAAAATTATATTAAAAGATGACTTGATCAAATAAAAATCTCATAAACACAGGGCATTTATTTAAAAAAAATATTGGTGTAAAAGGGTGAGGAGTCAAACAATATCCTCATCTTTGCCCGGGATACATAAGGCATTAATGGGTTTTGCCTTTATGTGCTGTGGTATACAACATGATGTGTAATGTGCTACTTCTATGCAACAACAAGCTGTGTAATAACAGGATTCTATTATATCAGATTTGAGTCCACATATAGAAAATAATTAGCTACCAGTGTGAGATTCTAATATAATACACAACCAGTGAAAGCCAAGATGAATAGCACTCTAGGGAAGTAATAAAGTACAGTTTATTTGGTTGGTTTCTGGATACTTTTTCTTAATATAACATCATCATACTCTAAACAATGCATTGCTCTCACTAAGGTCATATTACAATTAAACCATGAACCATTACTGAAACCACAACCCAGGGAAGGGTCCTAGGATGTACAAGCTAATGGAGAATTATCTGCCCAAAATGTTTGTAATCATGTCCTGGACCACTGCTGTCAAACTTTCAGTAAATTCTCTGCCCAAAAGTCCTCTAACATAACCAGCTTGATCCTCTCTGCAGGATAAATATCATGGCAAAAATTAAGGAGCCATATTTTCCTCAGCACAGGAGGCCAAGGATACACATATGGGTTATTCCACGCCTGTGGCACAACTTCAATTCCATGAATTCACACTGCACTTTGTGTGCAATTAACTCACACCCGAAGTTCTTCTGAATTGTACGTGGGGTAGGTGTCATTTCGCCTTCCACCAGGCTGACTTATGATCTGTCTTGCAAAAGATATATCGCCTTTGAAATTGTATATTAATTGTATAAAACCTGATGCACATTCGTGTCCTAAAACCTGGAAGCCTCTGCCTTGTCAAAGAGCAAGCTATGAGATTTTGCTGGGGCCCATGTAAGAATCATAAATAGTGTGACTTACCATTTCAGCCAAGCTGCTCTGGTCAGTAGTCAGGTTGACTACTTCCTGAGGTACTGAACACAAGCAGTAAATCAGAGAAGAAATGCAGGCCCTACCAACAATGGTAGCATGGCCAGCGTGAAGGCTGGGGCCCACTGTGTGCCAAACATTTGGTGGGACAAGGGAGGATACAGAAGAAATAAAAGGTCTCTACCCTCAAGCGCTTATAGTTGACAGGGCACAACAGTCACATTCTGAATGTGTGCACCATGCAGCACGCCAGCAAGTGCCAGTGAATGGGTGAGTGCCCAGCTGGAAGGGGATTATGAGAGACAAACTCCATGGCCAAGTCCTATCAGGAGCCAGGTCAGTGCATGGTCCTATCAGGAGCCAGGTCAGTGCATCACAAGGTGGGTGGGCTCCCTCGGGTTCCTCCTGGAGCCTTCATTTTAAGGGTCAGGGTCTTAGAGCATTTCTGTCTTAGTACTTTTATAGTTCCAGTGACAATATAAACATCTCAAAAATCACAGAAATATTTTAAGGACAAAAAAAGGACTTTTAGTGGTTTGATGTCTTGTCAAGCAAGGTGATGAGCACTTACAAATTGCTGGAATACTGAGAAGCAAGGCAATTTCAAAGTGAACTATAACAAGCTCATGCCTGGTTTTTTGTTTTTTGGTTTTTTTTGTCTTTTTGAAAGATATGACCTGGCAACAAAGCACCCACTGTTCTCTCACTATTCTTAAAATCACTTCCTCATCTCATTATGCTTCATCCCCTATACTCATTACAGAGAGAAATAATTCCATATTCAGTTTCAAGATTGAGAATCAGACACTATCTGTTTGTTCCTTCTTAGTTGAAAAATCACTGAGTTTCATGTTGCTTGTTCAATTAGGAAATATTACTGTAGTCTTATGAAAAAATCCAATTCTCTATTTGATGGTACTGTTAGACTAAAATGATTCTTTTTTCAGAAGGAGGAGAGGAAGATACCTTTCTCAAGTGAGCATATTTGAATTTAATTCAAAAGTAGCCAAGTAAAAAGTATACTGGACTTGTGCAATGTCCTCTTTAGCAATGTCAAACAAGAATTTTAAAGGAGCAGGGCTAATCATTAGGCTCAAGTTCACCACAGTTCATCTCCAGGAACATGTATCCCAAGGTACAATCTGTGTTTTGGGATTATGGTGAATTATCATTGTATTGAAAATGAATACAGTAAAAAAAGACCCCACTGGGGACGTAGTTCTTTCTGTGGCATTCTGGGTCTTGGAATACAGTAGGTCCCTTACATAATAAGAACCTTCAAATTGTGAACTTTCAAAGATGCAAACATGCGTTCACATGTCCAGTTACTTAAGTTAGTTCACATGTCTGGCGTACATTGTCAAGTGCGTGCATCCTCTAAAAGTGGGTGTGCTTTTGTGTACTTTACTGTATGTTACCGTATAGAGTACAGTAGTACAGTATCTTCATTTCAAGCCTAGAATGTCTGGAAGCATTCATAAAAGTAGCAATGAAGCAGCAGTTGGTACAGACTAACATGTGCAGTTGGGGACCCAGGTTGACTTTGTTGGACTTACAAACACATTGGACTTAGGAACACACTCTCAGAATGTAACCTGTTCATATGTGGGGAACTTACTGTAATGATGCTTTCCTTGGATGTTCCTTGTGATATAAACAAAACTGTACTTTTCATCAGATTTTCTAGTAGCCCCTCTAGTGTTCATACCTTTAAAGTAGTGAATTCATATGGTTGATAACCTTTGAAACTTTCATGGATGGCTGCCATTGTGTGAGAGGTTTTCTCCCAAAAATGAAGCAGAGTGGTCTGGAAGAAAAGACGGTGAAGCTGTTAATGTTTTGAATGCCCAGCTCCTGCCATAGAAAGCATGACTACTGGTAGCTTTCAAGATCCTTTAAAATACGATTCTAACTCACCTCTACACCCGTGTTTCCATTATGCCCCATTAACACCCTGCATGTCAGCCGGTCTAAATGCCTCCCTGATGCCCCAACACGCCACCTGGTCTCATACTGCTCCCAACACCTGGGACCTTCTCTATCTTCCAAAACCCAGGGCTAATCATTAACAATCTACTTTTGTGACCCCTCAACTGATAAGATTTTTTGCCTCATCAAACCCTCATTGGCTTTCACTTAGCACTTCCTGTTCTGCCCTAAGGGTATAGAAAGTACAAAGGGACACCCCCTACAACCTGGAATTATCTTTTGAAGGGCAGGCCTCTTGTAGGACAGGCTTCCCTACTAAGTAAGTGTTCTAGGAACCCATCAGCATCATTGTAGCATTGTTGTGAGAGGCTGCTCACTTCAGTGAAATTTTTTTTTCTTTGAGATTCTTTCAACACTTTCGCTTATTTCCTGATGGGTGATTTACGAATGCACCTGCCAACACTGCTCTGAGTGTTCAGCAGTTTTTGACCAAAAAAATGACAGGACGCCTGTGCCCTACCCTCCCCATATACCTCATACTCTCAACTTTTTTCTGTTTCCCCAGATAAAAATTGTCCTCAAAGGGAAACATTTTTTCAGTGTGGGAGAGGTGAAACAAAAAGCGGCAGAAGCACTAAAAGGCATCAGAACTGATGAGTTCAGAAACTGTTTTGAGCAGTGGCAAAAGTAGGTGTACTGCATCAAACGCAGAGTACTTTGAGGTGCCTGAAGTTTAAACATGTAAGATACACAATTTTTAGTAAATAAATTCCGGGTTTTTTGGGGTCGCCTTTGTGTAGCCAGACTTTGCCATCTGCAACTTCCTTCCTAAACTTTGAGCTTTCTGAGGACAGGGAACCTGGTCTTCTTAATTTGTACATTCCATGAAACCTCTGGTGTTCAACATCTCATCTTCAGTTGGGATCAGTAGCACTGCTGATAGACACAGTGCTATCCTGAAGGAACTCAGAGGCTATTCAGACAGACAGAAACAAGAGCATTGAATGATGACAACCTAATGAGGAAAGTGTGCCATGAGACAAATAGGCACAATGCTGAATGAGTTATTAAGGGACATGACATTTGGTAGAATCCAGGCTGGGCATAGTGGCTCACACCTATAATCCCAGCACTATGGGAGGCTAACGTAGGAGGAATGCTTGTACCCAGGAGTTTGAGACCATCCTGGGCAACATAGCAAGATCACATCTCTACAAAAAAATAAAAATAAAAAAATTAGCTGGGTGTGGTGGCACACACCTATAATCCCAGCTACTTAGGAGACCGAGGTGGAAGGATCACCTGAACCCAGGAGGTCGAGGCTGTAGTGGGCTGTGATCATGCTGCTGCACTCCAGCCCGGACAACAGAGCAAGACCCCAACTCAAAAGAAAAAAAAAAGAGTGGAATCCAGAAGGACTGAGATGGAGGAGAAAGGACTCCAGGCAGAGATGTCCCCTGGTGAGTGAGAGAAGTAGGATATTAGAGGGCATCTACAGGGACTAGCTATTGGACAAGAAGGCAGAGGTGTGGCAAGCAAATTACAAGACCATCATACTGTTCTAGCTCAAACATTATTTCTGTGTTATAGAAGCCTCATGCATTCTTGGTTCATTGCAGCTAACATCACTGTGTTACCTGGTATGTCGCCAACATGTGAGACAAGAGATTGCATCTGCTTGCTCCAAGAAGATCCACCTTTTGACACACATCCATCTTCAACTTGTCAAAATTTTTTTTCGCAAGGCGCACTTGTGTCTGCACCTATGGAAGTCAAGGAGAATCTCCAGTCACTCACATGTTTAAGTAGTTAAATATGCAGACGAGATGAGACCAAGAGCAGGCCTTTTCTCTTTCATATGCAGAGGGCCCCCCAAAATCCAAAATTTATTTATTAAAAATTGTGTATTTATTCTTATATGTTTAAACTTGTCACCTTCAAAGTACTCTCTGTTGGATGCAGTACACCTATTGGGATGCTTTTCCCGCTGCTCAAAACAGTTTCGGAACTCATCAATTTTGATGCCTTTTAGTATTTCTGTCATCTTTTGTTTCACCTCTTTCACGTCAACAAAACATTTCTCTTTGAGGACTTTTTTCATTGGGGAAACTAAAAAAGTTGCTTGGGGCAAGATCGGGTAAATAGGGAGGCCATGCTGTTTTTGGTCAAAAACTGCTGAATACTCAGCGTGGTATGGGCAGGTTGCTCATGAAAATTGCCCATCAAAGCATCTCCAAAAAATATTCACTGAAGCTGAATGCAGCCCTCTCACAACACGCTAGCTGGTACACTGATGTTGATGGGTTTCAACAACACTTATGTAGCAGGAAGCCTGTACTACAAGGGTCCCACCCTTCAGAAAATAATTCCACTTCTTTGGGGTTCCCCTTGTATATGAATACTTTTGAACATTTTAGGCAAATAGAAAAATCCTACAACATTTATTCTCTACCTCCAAAGGACCTAAATGAGAGGACTGCACATTACAATTTTATAGCAGACTTACTATCCTAATTCTATCTTTCTTAGTCTAATGTTAAAAACTTTATCAAGGTATACACAAACTGAACACAACTGGGAGAAGCCTTTGGTGGAGAGGTGAGAAAAAAAAATGAGTGGAATCTCTGCTCCACTGTCTTGTTGCGGTCCTTGGGAGCTAAGTTCTCATACGTGCTTTTCTCAGCATCCCCTAATGTTCACATCTTCATAACACGGTATGTTTGTTTAAACAAAGGAATTTACGTGGATACAATCCTATTTACTGACCTATGAACTTTATTTGGATTTTGCCAGTCTACCCACTAAATGTCCTTTTTCTGTTCCAGGATCCAATCTAAGATTCCATATGAAGGGATTTTGACACAACCTAAGAAGACCAACACCACTGATAAACCTTCACCTTTTTACTACTGAGTAATGTCTACCTGCAATCCTCCATCCATCCCTGAACCATACAGTAATTCAGAGATGGAGCGAAGGTCAGGGAAAAATTCAAAAATGTCTGTTCCATGCATGACTTCACAATAAAACAGAAAGTTTTAAAATTTGATACAGCTGCATTAAATATTGTGAAGTCAAAGTTTCCCCTTCCTCCAATCCAAAGTGTCACTACATCATATTTTGGCCAGAAAAAACAAGCTAATTTCTTAAAATCACTTTAGTGAAGTATGACTGACATAAAAAGCTGTACATGTTCCATGTATTCAACTTGATAAGTTCAAATATCAGTTTATCTCAAATAATTATGAAGTTGTCGAGACCAGATAGATCCCTGAGACTTGGCAGTAACACTGATTTATTAATGACAGCCATCACAGGGTACATACAGGAGGGCATGGACCACGTCTACCTTATTCACTGTTATATTCTCTGGAAACCCAAAGTGGGTACTGAATACATATTTGTTACCTAAATGAAGAAATGTTTCAGTTTCAGGAGATAAGGTTTTGAGTGCATTTTATTTATTTACTTATATTTTGAATATGTGGGGTGCAATTCAGGGTTAGGTATACAAATGTTCATTATGCAGGTACCCTTACTGAGATGTGTCCCCCTATCCTCTGGCAGTTTCCCACTGCTGCCAATCCCACTTGAGAGCATTTTAAAGTACAACCTTTAAAGTAGTTTAAGAAATGATGATTTAAATTTTCTAATAAAAATAAATATGTAGTTTATTTAATATAAAATCATTCATTTTTACCACTAACAATACAAACATAGTCACAACTTATAAAATTATGGGCCATTACATAATAATAGCAAATCTAATAATTGATATTATTCATCTATCACATGCTAGCATTATTCTCTTTTGGCTGCTGTTAGTCCTGTCCCTTACTGATGAGGATTGGGAGGCTGACATTCAAATTAAACTGTCTGACTCCAAAGTCATATGATTCTGTCTCTCAAGCAACCCACGTTACTCACTGGAAAATCAAGAAGCTCAAAATTATGATCTATCCAGAAACACTCAATTTCCCTGAAGGGTCCTATGGAATTGGAAAATAATGAGGCAGTACACTTAACACCACACTAAGATTCATTTTCTGCATGAAGAAAATCTTGATATCGCTAGCTATATAACACATTTCCTAACATTTCCTCTGCATTCTTGGTTTTCCTCTGCCTTCTGCTGGGTAGACCACAGGATAGTAGCCAGCCACTCCTCAAACTTCCCATACCATGAGCTTAAATAAGTCCAGGAGATGGGCCATTCCCCACTGTAAAGAGCCTACAGTTTAAACTACTTGGGGGCTCTGACTGTAGAAAGAGCCTGGGATGACTTCAGTGTCAGTGATTTCCTTCC